GCAATCTCCGTCTCCCGGGTTCAAGTGATTCTCCTGCCTTAGCCTCCTGGATAGCTGGGAGTACAGGCACGCACCACCACTCCTGGCTAATTTTTATATTTTTAGTAGAGACTGGGATTCACCATGTTGACCAGGCTGGTCTCGAACTCCTAACCAGGTGTCAGGTGATCCACCCGCCTTGGCTTCCCAAAGTATTGGGATTACAAGCATGAGCCCATATGTAGGCTCTGCCCGTATGATGTTTTTTTATGCATTGCAAAGTGACTACACACCCTATCCCTTGTCTCCTTTCTCTCTCTAGCAACCGTCAGGTTCTTAGGGCAGCGACTACGCTCATCTTCCATGTAAGAAGTGGGAACAGTGTCATGGATGTTCTGGGGCCCACAGTCCAAGTCCTGGTTCTTAGAAAGTTGGATCCAGATCCTGTGTCTTGTAGGTATATAGGTATATGTTTATGCATTGAAATGAAATACGTACAACTAGGTCCTTCCCCGTCTCCCCACCCACCCAGCCTATAAAGTCTTCTATGAAACAAAGTTAATTCCACTCTCAGAGAGAGGCTCCCAGAATCCAGTGTTTTGGTTGGTCTCCGCTACAAATGCTTTTTCTGATATTTGTGTGTTTGCAAGTCCCTCTCTAAGACTTTCTAAGATTTGCTAATTGGCTGCTGTATGCATGAAGTTCTGGACTTGGTGTCCCAAGCTCTTTATAGACTTGCTTTATATATATATACACACACATATATATACTTTAAGTTCTAGGGTACATGTGTACAACGTGCAGGTCTGTTACATATGTATACATGTCTCATGTTGGTGTGCTGCACCCATTAACTCGTCATTTACATTAGGTATATCTCCTAATTCTATCCCTCCCCTCCCCCGACAATACTTGCTTTTTTTTTCTCCCCCTCCTGCCATTAAATAATCACCCTTCAGCTTCTCTCAACTTACTGTCCATCAATAACCATTGTATTGGTTACATTACAGCCCTCCTTAATACAAAACAACGACAACAACAACAAACCATTCAAACTTCCAACCAACTTCCCCTGAAGGCACAGAAAGTGAGACCTAAGCGAAAGAAATCCATCCTCTTTAACATCAGCTAACAGCATGGGAGTCAGTGTCTGGTGCAGAGCTCAGAATTCCTATTTCACATTCTGATTTGGCACTTTCATCGTAATTATTCAAGTGGGAAAATCTCCTCTACTTTTCCTGTGAAGCTGTTTCCTCTCCTTCTGGAAGATAGCAGCAGGATGATTGAGGAGGTAAAAGGATAAAGAGAAAGGATGCAGCCTGTTTCTTCATTTATTCGACCAATAATGTTGGAATGCGACAAAGTCCTTGTCCTCAAGGAACTAACAGTCTGGGGTGAAGGGTGCAGGTGGGACAGATGTAAAAACATAATTTCAGATGTAGTTGCTACATGTGATTATGAAAGTCTGTAGAGTGGCTCATGCCTCTAATCCAGCATCTTAGGAGACTAAGGCAGGCAGATTACCTAAGGTCAGGAGTTCAAGACCAGCCTTGCCAACATGGTAAAACCCCGTCTCTACTAAAAATACAAAAAGTAGCCAGGCATGGTGGCAGCCACCTGTAATCCCAGCTACTCAGGAGGCTGAGGCAGGAGAATCACTTGAATCGGAGAGGCAGAGGTTGTGGTGAGCTGAGATCACGCCACTGCATTCCAGCCTGGGCAACAAGAGTGAGACTTCATCTCAAAAAAAAAAAAAAAGTTTGTAAAGAAGAGGTCATAAAGTAGGGTAGTAGTTTTTGTAAATATATATCTTCCTTTTCTCTCCTTATCATGCTCATGCTTTTCTCTACTTTCTTGAAAAAAAAAAGGAATGTATTTATTAAACTGTGTTGCCTTTCTGGTCTGCTGATTCTATTATTTGTCATTTCTGGGTCTATTTTCTATTGATTGATTTGCCTGCTTTACACCGGACAGGGGGAGCCAGGAAGCCTCCATAGGAGAAATAACCCCAGTGAGGGGAAGGGCCCTCCAGACAGCAAAAACAGCACATAAAAGTAGGGTAGAGCACAACAGAACAGCTCAGGGAGCCTGAGAAATTCCGTGGCACTGGAAGCTGGGTTATGAAGGGGATATGTTTAAGGACTAAGGCTGGAGAGGCCTTATCTCTCAGGTAAGCAGGCAGAACTCATCCTATAGAAGGTAAAGAGCCTCTGGAGTGATCTAAAGGAGAAAGTGACTTTTGTTTCAAATGCTCACTAGCTGCAGAGTAGAGAATGGATTGAGAGAGATGAGCCTGGAGAAAGGCCACTTCAGAAGCTATTATGGCGGTTATGATGAGAGATGACAGTAGCCTGGAAAAGATCAGATTCAACGAAGTTGAAGAAAGGTGGATGAATTTGATAGAGTTTTAGAAGGGAGAATCTAATATCATAGAAAACATGAGGGTGATTTCTGGCCCTTCACAGGAGAAAGAGAGGAACGGAGTGGGGAGAGATTATGGAATGAGTTAGGATGGGTGGGGTTTATCCTCTGGGGTTCCCATGCCAAATTTCCTTCAGGTGACCAGTTTTACCTTTCTCCCTACCCCGTTCATCCCCGCCTGGTCATTAAGGATGGATATGCCATTTGTCTTTGCTGGACCTCAATTTCCATCCATGAAATGAAGGGACTGGGATTGAGTCCTTCCCTCTTCTCTCAGGCTGGACTGAGGTCTCCCTTCTCTGAGTCCTGCAATGTCTGTCTCAGTCTTACACTACTAAGCTTTTGCTGCTTCATTCTGTTTCCCCAAGAAGAGTTGAAGTTCTTTAATTAAGCCACTCGGCATCCTCTACCAGCTGCTTGCAAAGGTTTCTTCAGGCCTGAGAGACCAGTATTCCTCAGTATGGAAGACTAGTCTTCAGGTTGCTTCTTGCTATCCCCAACATCCTTATTCTCCAGAACTTTCAGATGCTGGGTCCAGGCCCTATTTCACTGAGCCCTCTGCAGCTGGAATTTATCTTGCCCCAGAGCCCAGCTGAACAGCACTAGGGGTGGAAGATGTAAGCTGATGGGGGAGAAACATGGCAGGAATCCTGGTTCTTGGAAAGTTGGATCCAGATCCTGTGTCTTATAGGTATGTATGTGTGTGTTTATGTATACATATGTATGCGTGCATGTGCAGCCATATGTATGTGTGTGTGAGTATTGGAGTGTCTCTATGGTTTTTTTTCTGTATTAAGTTATATGTGAAGTTCCATGTATGTGTCTGCATCTAAATCATGACGCATAAGTCAGTGCACACATGTCAACATCTATATGCCCATGAGTATTAATGCCTGTGTATGTGTGAGGGCCTTTGCTGGCAAATGCATGTGTCTGTCCACATACCTGTGTGCAAGTGGGTGCATATATGTTATAAACATGCACATATGTATATATGGGTGCCACACTGTGTGTGTGTGTTTGTGTGTGTGTGTGTGTGTTAAGTGTTGTCTATAAATGGAGGCAAGATACAGTGTCTAGTTAAGAGCATTTGCTTTAAAGTCTGGCTACCTGGGTTCAAGCCCTGAAATCAGCATTTAAAAGCTATAGGCCTTTGAGTAATTATCTTTTTAAAGCATTGGTTTACTCATCACTAAATTGAAGGTAATAGTAGTGGCTAACTTCCATGTCTAATGTGAGGGTGGAATGATAATAATGCCCAAAATGTACTTAAAATAATGCCTTATACATAGGGGGTGTTAAAAAATATTGGTTGTCACAAAGTAATTCATGACAATAAATATGTAAGTGGCTGGCTTGAGGGTCTCTGAGGCTTTCCGCATGTGCTTCTGTGCCTTTGGGCACATGAGGTTGATGTGTGTGTCTGTTAGAATGTGTGTGTTTGTGTGGATAGACGCCTCTGGGCATACAGGCCTGTGTTTGGGGGTAAGTGGGTATGTGTGTTGGTGGTTTGTCTGTGAGTGCCTCTATGTGAGTTTGGGTTCTGCCAGGATTGTGAATCTTCCAAGGGAAGGGATTACATCTAATTAATCATTGTACCCAGGTCCCTGGACCTGGGACATACAAATTGCTAAGCAAATTTGTGTTGACTGAATGAATGAAGTGGACTGGACATTCAGAGATTGTTATTCAGACAACATGCTCATTTGTAGAAAAGAAAAAGTTGTAACTAGCTAGCTAGCTAGATGATAATTGAGTAGGTAGGTATGTAGATAATAGGTAGATAGGAGGTAGATGATAGATAGATAATAGATAGATGGATAGATAGATAGGTAGATAGATAGATAGATAGATAGATAGATAGATAGATAGATAGATAGATAGATAGATGATAGGTAGACAGCCAGACAGATAGATAGCTGAGATTGGCTCTAAGTGGAATCTTAAGTACTTTCTCCTGGACATTATGCTAGAGTTCATACGTCCCAGGGTGCTCCAAAACATTGGCTCTGGCAGCTCTGTGAGTGTTTATGGAGTTGCCTTGAGGGCCTGCAGAGGAAGGAATCACAGAATGGAGAGCTAAGTTCCCCACCTGACATCATCAAGAATCTATTTGCTTTTAATCTCTGGATGTCCATGTCAAATTGTAAAGTTCCACTACTATACATTTTTGAAAATCTTGTTACAGACCAACCCGTTTTATTCTACAGAAGGCAGCAGCTGAGCCTCAGAGAGAGAAGAAGGTTAGAACCTGACCTCTCTTTCAGGCCTATTTCTACCATGCCACCTGCCTTGGGATGCAGTAGGTAGGCCTCCTCTAACTCACTGGGAAACAGAATGCAATTCCTCCCAGGAACTCCTCTTTTAGAGAAGCCACTATCATAGTGGCCCTTGGGATGTCTGTCCAAGAAACGACCCCATTCGTGTGAGATTGCCCCATCAGGTCAGCCACTTTGGCTGTGTGCTAGATAGTCCCAGTCTCCTGGCCCAGACTATTGAACCCTGGCCCAAGCAGCGAAATCAAATTCCCTGTTGCGATTTGGAGGCGGGATGGCAACAGGTTAACCAGTCTCTGTTGGTCCCTGAATTAGAAAGTGATGTGAAGCTGGAATGTCCATATTTAATCAAGGGATGAGTGAACAGGAAAAGCTGGCTTCAGACAGAAAAAGAAAACAAAGGCGATGCAAAGATACACCGTCATAAAAGGCTATGTGGCTTCAGAAAGAGGGACAGAAGGCAAGACAAACTTTGGCTTCTTTTGGCTTGCCAGGTCCCACTCCCAGAGCGTGTGCAGCCTGGAGGTATCTCTTGCACTTGAACTTCGTGCTCCTACGTCCTTATAATTAACTCCCCTTTTGCCTGAGAAATTGTAGTGGGTTTCTGTTTCTCGCAACCACACCATCTCTAAACAAGGTAGCACGTTGGAACGTCTCCTCCAAGTAGATACACAGGCTCGGCACCTGCTGGTCTACCTTGGTTCCTGATGTGTCTCTGAGGCCAGCTTTGCGAGGCCTTATCTGTAGCTGTGGGAAGGGCGTAAGTCAGTGTACACATTTCAGTATCTATATATATGCCCGTGAGTATTAATGCCTGGGTATGTGTGATGCCCTATTTGTTGCATCTTTGTGGAGTGCTTTGAAGTACTCATTAAAGGTCTCCAGAAAGGGACTTCACCCATCTCCTAGGCTTTGCAGTTACATTCCCATAGCAGGACTGGTGCATTGCTTCTGCTGGGACTTCTTGCTTAATCCTTCAGAGCAAGCACAGCACCGTTTACAGTGAGAGGTACTCCCTTGCGTGATGAAGTTTCTGCATCAAAATCGAGTCATTCCTCCAGCATCTAGGTCCCAAGGATGTTTGTGTAGTTCTCTAAGTCACAGCATGTCTGTGGTATGGTGGGGGATAGGGGAGCTATGGGGACTAGTTTTTCCTGGAGCAGAGTCTCCAAAAGTGGCCCTTTGATATGTTCCCATGGGGATTTTTGGAAACCATGATACAAACAATCAAAGGAAGCAGAGTGAATGCAAGGGTCAGTCTCTTCAATTCATGAGCAGTCAGAACAGGAGATGCTTAGGAAGGAATCATGGCCGGTGCTTCTTCTCCATGCTCATCCCATACCCTAGTGACAGGATACCTCTTCCCTGGAGTTAAAAACATGCGCCACACTTCCGGTAAAGGCTAAAGCCACAGAGGGCACCTAGCAAGCTTGCTTTCAAGGTCCCATTAACAAATGAGAAGGGCAGCCCAGTACAGACTGACAGGAACCCCACTATGTTGCCTTTTTTTTTTTTTTTTTTTTTTTTGAGACAGAGTCTTGCCCTGTCATCCAGGCTGGAGTGCAATGGCACAATCTCAGCTCACTGCAACCTCCACCTCCTGGGTTTGAGCGACTCTCCTGCCTCAACCTCCCAAGTAACTGGGATTACAGGTGCCTGCCACCATGCCGGGCTAATTTTTGTATTTTTAGTAGAGATGGGGTTTCACCATTTTGGCCAGGCTGGTTTTGAACTGCTGACCTCAGGTGAGCCACCTGCCTCAGCCTCCCAAAGTGCTGGAATTACAGGCGTGAGCCACGGCGCCCAGCCGAGAGTTTTAAAGAAGGTGAAAGTTGTTCCCTTTCCCGAAACCTAGCCTGGCCTTGAGTCTGTTAATACCAAGACTGGGTGAATTGGAGTGGAAAGCAGAAGTAGTGAAGGGAGCCATTGCCAGAGGGAAGAACACAACTTCAAGGCCAGATGCTCAGTGGAGCTCTCAGAACAGCCAAGCCAGGAGGACAGTCAGGAGGACCATGGGCCAGGCCACCAGGAACCCTGAAATACAAGAAAGATGACTGTCAAGTGTTGGGCTTTGGGAGTCAGGAGTAAACGTAAGTTGGCCTCTTTGTGTTTTGCAACACCAGGATGAGAAAGGCAAAGCATCTTTAATATCTGGCCTGGTTATAGTCTCTGAGACTCACATGGTAGAGGCAAAGCTATCTAATCACCAAAATTTTTTTTTCATTTTCCTCTAGACACACAGTAAGGCAATTTTTCTCAGTGTCCTTTGCAAGTAGGTGGGGCCATGTGACTGAATCTGGCCAATAAAATGTACATAGAAGTCATCTGTGCCATTTCTATGTCTGATCCTTAAATCCTCCTATATATCCTGTTGCTCTCTCATCTACCATCTAAGGGAGCAGATGCAGAGTATCCAAGATAGGACTTGCAGGGGATAGTGGAGTTGCCAGAAGTTACCAGAAGGTAGTAGAAGCCCGAGCTCCTAATGACTACATGGAGTAGAACTGCATCCCCTCCCCCAGTGATTTAGTGGGAAACAATGCTGTTGTGTAAAGACACAGAAGATTGGGGATTGTTTGTTATAGCAGCTAGCATTACTTATGCTGACTAATACTGAAGGGGCAGAAAGACACAGAGGTTAAAAAGCACTGCCTCTGAGGCCTGATTACTTAGCTTAGAATCTCAGCTCTATACCTAGCTGGGCAGTCCCAGAAAAGTTATTAAACCTCTCTGCCTTTATTTTCCTGTATGCCAAAGAGAAATATTAATAGCTCCTGTGACTTCACTGGATTTTTGTACGGCTTAAATGAGTGAGTTCATATTAAGCATTGAGATCAGCGCCTGGCACATGGTAAACACTATATAAATGTTGGTTTTAAAAGTTAGACTCTAAGATCTAGTTCTGCTGGGATTGTATCTCTTTGGCATATCACTGTGTACTCAGTTTCGGTGAAGGACATGGATCCCCGATGATAAATGTCTTGTATCGGAGGGCCTAGGAGAAACATGTGAGCCTTCCTGCCATACTACCAAATTATAAAATCTCCCCATTAACCCAATTTCAAAGTAATTGGCTGATGTCCTAGAAGTGAGGAGAGAAATATAAATTTCAGACACAATTCATGGCAAAAAGTTATAATTATCAAACAGGTTGATGTTCAATTAATTCTAAAACATCAAAGATGATTGTGATAGCAGACAATGAAAACCACAAGTGCCCTCTTGTAGTGGGTAGGCTGCCTCAACATCAGACTGATCCCCTCCTTGTCCAGAAGCGCCCAAAATCCACCACTCATCCTAGAAATTAGTCAATTTGGCAAACTGTACTGGGAAACCACACTGTTCCAGGCGCTGGGCTAACCAGAAGGACTGGCAGAAAGGAATGAGACTTGAGGTTCCTGACTTCAAGCTGCTTTTTGTTTTGAGGGAGTTTCGCTTTTGTTGCCCAGGCTGGAGTGCAATGGTGCAATCTCAACTCACCAAAACCTCCACCTCCTGGGTTCAAGCAATTCTCCTGCTTCAGTCTCCCAAGCAGCTGGGATTACAGGCACGTGCCACCATGCCCAACTAATTTTGTATTTTTAGTAGAGACAGGGTTTCTCCATGTTGGTCAGGCTGGTCTCAAACTCCCGACATCAAGTGATCTGCCTGTCTCGGCCTCCCAAAGTGCTGGGATTACAGGTAGGAGCCACCCGCACTTGGCCTAAGCTGCTTTTAGAATGAGTTCTAACCACTCCTCTCAATGAGCGTGACTTTTCTTAGCATTGTCTGAATGCTGGCACTGAACATAGAGAGTCCATCTTGGACTTACTTGGGCAATTTAAAAACTGCCGTCTAAGTTTGGGCTTTGAGGATAGAAAGAACCTTTTCATGTCTGGGTTCACCAATATAGGTCATTTTGTGGGAAAGCAAATCTTAATAGTATGTGCTTTCCATTTTGTCCAAAACAGATTTCTAGTACCCTATAAATATGTAAAAAACGTAAAAATGTTCTCTCTCTCTCTCTCTCTGTCTGGCTGTGTGTGTGTGTGTGATATTTCTTTTATTAGTCATCTTGTTTAGCTCCAAGTCATTAATCAAAAACCCATTCAGATGTTACTACCTGGTGAAATTCTTTCCAGACCTTATCCAATACAGTTAATTAGCCTTTTATGTACTCTTTCTGTACCATCTACCTACTTGTCATTTATTTGCTCAAGTGCCTGTCTCACTTGTGCAATGAATTGTTGGTGTTCCCATGCATATAGAGCTCATTCCCCTAACATTTGCACCTCCGACTCATTTTTCTCATTTGGCTTAAACATCACTTATTCTGAAAGTTTTTCTGACCACTTATCCATTCTGACAGTCTTTCTTCCTTCCTACCTTGATAATAAAGCCATCAAACATCGGTTAGGCACACGGCCCATCCAGAGTAAAGATTGCATTTCCTAGCTTCCTTTGCAGCTAGGTGTGGCATGTGACTAAGCACCAGCCAATGAGATGTAAGTGGAGGTATAAGGTGCTAGCTTTCAGGAATGTCTTTTAACACTCATTGGCTTCTTCCTTGTTCCCTCCATCCTGCTGCCTGGATACAAAGGTTGGAGCTCTGGCTGCCATCTTGGAACATGAAGATGATGGCCACACCTCAAAGATGGTGGAGGCATGAGTTGGAAGGAGCCTGGATCTTTGACGACTTTATGGTGCTACCCCACTAGCCTTGGATAGTTTGCCTCTAAGCTTCATTTATGTGTGACAGAAATGAACGTCTATACAATGAGAACACTTGGACACAGGGAAGGGAACATCACATACTAGGGCCTGCCAGGGGATGGGGGGCAAGGGGAGGGAGAGCATTAGGAAAAATACCTAATGCGTGTGGGACTTAAAACCTAGATGACGGGTTGATGGGTGCAGCAAACCACCATGGCACATGTATACCTATGTAACAGACCTGCATGTTCTGCACATGTATCCCAGAACTTAAAGTAAAATGAATTTTAAAAAAAGAAATAAAAACTTCTTGAGTTTGAAAAAAAAGAAATGAATGTCTATTTTAAGGCATTATTACTCTTCTATCACCTCACTTTCTTGTATTTCCAAGGTACCATGTTTACTTTTTATTTTCTACTTTCCACACTGGTGCATAAGCTCTATGAGGGTAGGCACCTGGGCTGTTTTGTTTGCCATCACATCTTCAGTGCCTAGAACAAGACTTGGCACACAGTACATATTTCTTATCAAAGGACTGTCTCCTCCACTAGACTGCGGGCATCTCAAAGGCCAATCTTGGGTCTGATTAATGTCAGTGTCCCTAGCATAGGGTCTGGGCCGTAAAAGGGGCAGAATTGAAAAGAGAAAGGAGAGTTGAGAAAGCTATGGGAAAGGCATGAGAAAATGATGTACCTGCAGTGCCGGGGGTTCCATTCATGACACCAGGAGACTGCGCACCTGTGAACAAGAACAGAAGAGGAGGGTTTCCTCAGTCATGCTCCAGTGACTGCAGCACTGTGGCTATAACTGCTTCACATCCTCCTAGACCTGGCCATCACAACCACTGGCCATCCACATTGTGGGGACATCTATGATCTGGCACAGGCACCTTTCTAGACACATTGCATGCATCTTAGACTTAATCCTCCTAACAGATTTGTGAGGAAAGTATTATCATCCCCATTTGACAGATGAGAAGACTGGAGCTCAGTGATGTTAAGGGACTTGCCAAATTGACCTTTCCAGTCAGTAGCAGAGCTGGGATTCAAACCCCAGTATGTCTGATTCAAAAGTGAAAGTTCTTAACCTCCACCAAGTTACCCTGTGATGCCACTTGAGGCTTCAAGTTGAGAGCTCAGTAAAATGGTAGGAAAACTCAGGGAAGAGCCTTCTTCATGAGACAGCCTCTGTTTGTTCTGGAAAATGGAAATGGTGATAATGCTTTACCTACCTCACCTGTTGTGAGCATTCAGAGTGATCGTGCATATAAAGGCATTTGACAAAGTGCCAGGCACAAGGAAAGTATTATTAGTACCAACATTACTGCATCTTAATTTCTTTAGGGGGAAAAAAAAGGCTTTCATTCTTCTACTTCTCCATCCTGGTGGAAATAAAAACACTAAATAGACACTACTGTAAATCCATGAGTAGGATAGATGAAAATATGAGGAGCCATTGGAAAGCCTCCCCTATATTATACTCCAGAATACCATAAATGAATTTTGGAAAACACAGTCATTCACCAGAAAACAAAGTTGCATTTAAACGGGATTTAGGACTTACACTTCACCTGTAAGGAACTGAGTTATGGGGACCTGGAAACAGGTGGAATAAGGAAAAGGCCACATGTTTTGGCATCAGACTGAGCTGGGTTCAATCCTAACTCTAGCCACTCATGAGTAGGGGGATCCTTGGCGAGTCACTTAATCTCTATGAGTCTTAGTTTCTCGCCTGTAACATGGACACAGGCATAGGAGGATTAAGTGAATTGATGGATGCAAGAGCTTAGCCTGGTCTCTAAGCACACAGGAGGTCCAAATGACAATATTGTTATTATTACTCAAAGCATCTCAAAGAATAGGTTTTTCAGTAAGGGTCAGACTGAGGTGGCAGCAAAGCCCTGAGAAGTTGGGCTGGTGACCCCAGGCATCTGTGGTTAACTGTCAACACTCAGCCAGCAGGTCTTGTCACTGGGATTTGGCCACTTACCTCTCCGAGTGATGGGCCCCAAATCTAGAACCCGGGATAGGTCAATGGCTGGTACTTCACTGCGGACTTGACTTCTTGGGCAAGACTGTAGGGATGATGAACTTTTATTATATCAAAATTTAAATGCCTGGATTCTATCTAGACTGCTCCTGCAATGGGCAACTCTGGACCAAGAACTGGGTCCAGAACTAGTTCATGCTATGGCCCTAATTCCGATGCTGTGGTTATCTCAATCTAGAAAGTTATCACTGTCATGCCAAACAAATCTGGGTTTGAATCTCATCAAGTAGAGACTTTCTTTTAGCTATATAATTTGGGGCCAATGACTTTGCCTCTCTACAATAACTAAATAATACCCACCTGGTTATGAAGATGAAAATGAGATGTGCCTGCAACACGTGGGCACAAAGTAAGCACTTGGAAAATACCAACTATTCACAGGCAGTGCCAAATGCAGGCAAGAGCAGGGACGCTGGAGTCACCTCTCGGCTGGGGCACACCCTGGCTCTGATATTTTTTACATGTGTGTGGCCCTGTGGGCAAGGACTTCTCTGACCCTCACAGTGGGGTAGATAAAATAATCTACTTACAGGGTTGTTCTGAGAGTTACATGAGAAAACGTATGCAGAAGTTTTAGTATGGTGCTTGACAAAGAGCAAGCACTAAAAACGTCATCTATGATTATAATCATTTAAGAGATGCCAATGGAATCTAGTAGATAGATTTCTTTATCAAATCTGCCTCCTGGGGACACAAAAATTGCTTAGATTTGGCCCTTTAGGAGACCTAGAGTATATCTATTTATCCTTCATTCTTCCCTCCCTCCCATCCACACACCTACCCATCTCTTTCCCTCTCTTCATCCTGCTCCCTTCCTTCTCTCCTTTCCTGTTCCTCCTTTCCTTCTCCATCCCTCCTGTATTCCTTTTTCCCTCCCTCTTCCCTTCTGACTCCCTTCCCTTCCTTCCCTCATTCCCCTTCCTCATCCCCTTCCCTAACCTTCCCTTCCCCTTCCTCTTCCCCTTCCTCTTCCCCTTCCTCTTCCCCTTCCTCTTCCCCTTCCCATTCCCTTCCCTTCTCTCCTTCCTTCAGTTCCCTTCCCCTTCTCTTTCCCCTTCCCCTTTCCCTTCCCTTCTCTTTCCCCTTCCCCTTTCCCTTCCCTTCCCTCCCTTTCCCCTCCCTCCCACCCTCCCTTCATTCATAATTGCAATAAATATATATGGAGAGTCTAACAGGTACCAGGCTCCATGCCGGGCTCTGAAGAGTTCAGTTCAAAGAGAAACTCACAGGCTGGCACTGTTCATTAAAAGAATCACAGAGATGAATCTCACAATGCAGGAAAACTAGGTCATAATGTCCAGCAAACATGAACATCTGAACTGAGAACCGGCTTTCCGAGGATCTCCCATTCTCCTCCACATGGATGGTGGAGTCACGTTGATTTGAGCAGCTGGGAGGGTGACAGGGGCAAAGGTGTAACTTCTTAAAATAGCAGTGGAGAAAATTAAAGAGTCCCTCGGGTTCCCTCCATCATGATAAAGTGGACTTTTTCTGTTCCTCTGTTTCCTCCAAGATATATCCATAAACTCACATGGCTTAAATTATTTGGGGGCACAGTCTCTGTAGTGAAACAGACTGATTTTATATTCTAGCCCGACCCATGTTCTAGCTAAGTGATTATGGGCAGGTTACTCATCCTTACTGAACCTTACTTTTCTTATCTGTAAAGTGGAGACAGTAATATACACTTTATGAGACTGATGTGAGCATTTAATCAGATAACCCACATATATTTCTTGGCACATAGCTAAGCTCAATGACAAATATTAGCTAGGATTATTACTATAATTTAAATCGTGATCTATAGAAATGCATTTTTCCCTTGTTTTTGTCAGCCGGGCAGTTCAATCATATTTCATCCCACAACATTTATCATATTGTTTTCATATTGACCCAGTGTTCACTTTGGTGTAATAATCCATTACTACCAAATTGATTCCCTAGTTTTGAACAATAAGCCTGTTACCAAAGTTATCAAGAATATTGAAATGGAAAAATATTGGCATTTATTCACCCTACCCACCTATTTGGTATTAATATTTTAGGCTAAAATCTCAGGAGTGATATTTCTGAGTCAAAGAGTGTGGTTATGCTATGTAATACAACTTACACATCTGCTAGGGATGGATGAGACGAACATTTTCCCGTAAACGTTAGTAAGGCCAAATGATAATTCTAGAATTGCTCGTTACCTGTTTCTGATGATGAAATACTTCACAGGGTCAGCCTTGTCTTCAGTGGGGGTGGCATAGCAGTTCCTCAACACCAGGTTAAACCGGGAGGTGTCCCCTTGCTCCAAGATGGCGCCCACATAGAGCATGGACTCAACAGACAGTTCAGCTACATCCCCTTCATAAGGATTCGTGTAGTTCTGGTCTTGGAAGAGGGCCATCCTAACAATGAACTCTCCATCCCCGCCCACACTGACGTTCAGGAAGCTGAGAAAAGGAAAGCCACAAGAGTGGGAACCTCAGAGAGAACAACATAAATCAAGCCCTGCTACTTACTTAACACACTTATGAAGGCAAAGACACATGTCTTGGATCCTTAAGTGAACTATTCAATCATTCATTTAAACGGAGCATTTATTAGTTTCTAGGCACCAAACTTGACAGACAAGTCTGTCTCCAGGATTTCCACGGATCCTCCCTGCAGGACAAGTTACACATATATCTCTCACTGAAGGAATAACTGAGTGTACACCTCCATCTTCTCACCTGGAGAGTGGGGCTGAGAACCAGTTCTGTGTGTTTACATTTTTTTTAGCAGCAGATCGCTTCCCTCCATTCCACAGTCTTCAGTGAAACCCAATTTTAACAACAGAAATGGCTTTCCTTTTGATTTTTTGTGAACCAGGAGCCCCAGCACCAAACCATCTGGAAACCACTGAATTAGAAAATTGCTAATCCTTCTGATCCTGTTGCTTTGTAATACCAGGGGGCAATAAGGAATGAGATGAGCACTCTGGATTTTTGACTTCCCAGAAAGTCCCCTGGTAAATCTAGGGATGCTAAGGAACTGATTCAACAGGACCCCATTTCAGGCACAGAAACACAATAAAACAGAGAAAAGCCCCTGCCCAAATTGCTATCTGATGCTATTCCTGCTGGGGATGGGGTGCCTGTTTATCCAATAAAAGCTGGTCTCTGCTTCAATCTCATGTCTGCAGGGAAGTTGTTCTGTCCCCATCAAATCCACCACCAACAGGGGTCTGGAACCCCTGTTCCCTGCTCCCAAAGCACCCCACGTTTTTTTTACATTGCACTTATCCTGCTTATAAGTAATTACTGATTTAATTCGTTGCTTAATACTTTTGTTCCTCAAGGTGAATGAACTTGTCCTGCGTTTTTGTTTTCTAGCACATTTAGTAAGCACTGTTTCATGTTGCTGCATTGCCTAGTTATAACCATCTTTAATATCCACAGAATAATCTATGTCTGTCTTGTTCATGCTGAACATCTTTAATATACAATCAGTGAGTGCTTGTGGAATGAATGATTGAATGACTGGAGGCTCCTGGAGGAGGTTGGTAATATGATGTGGGCATCATAGTCTACACTTGAAATAAGTGTGATGTGACTATTGCTAAGGTTATAGGTCAAAGGGCAAGGGTCAATGCCATACCTTACAATGGGCTTCAAGGCAGCTTGGAGGCTGACTTTCATGTCCAGTGGGTAGGCACATTGGAAGTTGATGTTGAGGATGGTGTCTCTGATGATGAAATCACTGACCAAGGAGAGGGTGTTTTTGTAGATGGCATGGGTTTGATTTCTCTTTGGCATAAAAACAAAACCACACAGATGTTTATGTGTAAGTGTATGTAGGTGTATCTCAAATCCAGATCTGATTTCCAGAGTCAATGTGCTTAACCATGCAGCCACCCTACCTTCTGAGCTCATGGAGGTAAAGGGACCTCCTCCTTTAGTGTTACTGACACTTTGTGGGAAGGGGAATGAGGACACCAGACAAAAAACTAGACCAATAAATTATTGACCCTTGGGAAGAGTCAGGAACCGACAAGCTTGCTTCTCTGTGCATCCCTCCCCCACCATCCCTAATTAAAATTATCATAATTGTAGCTTACGTTTATGAAACTCACATGTCAGATTTACACTAAGCTCTTTATGTAAACCAACATGTGCACTCTCACATAACCCTGGGGCTCAGGGAAGCTAAGTGGCTTGTCCAAGATCTCAGAGCTACTATGATAGGTCCCATCAGCCCAACACATACCTTCTGGCAGCAGTGGTGTGAAAGCCACTTACCTCCAGAATGTTCCTGCAGGCACTAGCCTGGACGGGGCTGGTCACAGATACCCAGTTCGTCTCGCCTGTCTGCAAGATGCTGCTGCAGTTTGGGTCTCGCAGGTAGGCAATGACCTCCTCCTCCAAACCCAGGCCTCCCAGCAAACATTTGTCCACCTTCACCTTGATCTCCTCGGCCCCACAGTCTAGCTGAGGCTGCAAACTGTGGAAATCTGCAAAGCAGAGATGAAGGCAAGTGGAATGGACATGAGTCTGGAAGCCCACTTTCCTTATTCTTTGGTAAGGTCTCCATGACCCAGAAGATTATGTAAACTGGAAGGTCCCTGGGACCCAGACGGAATTCATGCCTAGACTGGCAGTAGGTGAGGCTGGCAAAGGGGGCCCCTCATTCGAGATTTCCAAGTGTCCTATGTGCAGGCTTAGCTAAGGTTTTTTGGTCTAGTTCCTCTTGGGGATTGTGTTATTTGGGGAGGCAGGATGGACTTGCATTGCATACTAGAATCAAAGTTAGATATATGTTACCTTGTTGAGTCAGCACATCTGACCAAGTTCAGAGCTATCATATTTTAACTCAACATTTATTCAACACACAACTTCTTGAGCATCTACTATCTGCCAGGCACTGGGGCTACAACACTTATCAAAACTGACAAAATTCCCGCTCTTACAGAGCTAATATTTGAATAGGGTAGACAAATAGTAAACTAATAGGAAGACAGTTTCTATTGCATTCATGAATGCATTAATTCAATATATATTTACCAACCACCTTCTTTCTCTCTCTCTCTCTCTCTCCTTTTTCTTTTTTTTTTTTTCTTTTTTTTTTAGACAGAGTTTTGCTGTGTTGCCCAGGTTGGAGTGCAGTGGTGAAATCTCAGGTCACTGCAACCTCTGCCTCCTGGATTCAAGTGATTCTCCTGCCTCAGCCTCCTGAGGCTGGGATTACAGGCATGGGATTAGAGGCATGTGCCACCACACTGGGCTAATTTTTGTATTTTTATAGAGATGGAGTTTTGCCATATTGGCCAGGCTGGTCTCAAACTCCTGACCTCAGGTGATCTGCCCACTTCAGCCTCCCACAGTGCTGGGATTACAGGCATGAGCCACTTTACCAGCCACCTTCTCAAATGCTAGGTGCATTCAACACAAAGTAAATAAGGCATGGACTTGGCCTATGAGGATTTCTTGGTCTTGTGTAAACACCAACATACCCACAGCTTATTATACTTCAATATGATAAAGATACAGACAGAAGTATGTACAGATGCAGGGGGAGCAGAGAAGAAAGTCTAAGTCTCTTGGTGAAGCCAGGGAAGGATTCACAGTGGGGTGAAACTTGAAAGAAGGGTAGGAGTTTTGCAAGTGAGTAAAGCAAGTGAAAGCATCTCAGGCTAAGGGAATAGGATAGGCAAAAGCATGGAGATGAGATAGAGGGGATGGTGCATTTGTGGAATTTCAAAGTTCAGAGGTGCAGGAACCTAAAATGAGAGTGGGGTGTGAGAGATGGAGAACGAAGTGAAAGTCAGACCACAGAGGGATGTGTCTGCAAGCAATGGGGCCCACTGGACAGCCATCATTCTGCTGGCCACTGATGAAGACGTGAGGCAGGCCACCTGCTCACTCAGTCAGCTGAGACTGTCCTTGGAGCCCATCCAGGTACAGGGAGGGCCTCCTTAAAGCCCAAGTTCTGACTCTGTGATGGGCCCAAACCCCAGAAAACCACACTGACTCTCTGGGGCCTCATCCACTCAATGAGCAGAAAGAGGCTTTAAGGAGATCAAGGTTGTTGGTTGTTCCCTACCCCTCATTTCCCAGGGTGCTCCTGCTGGGCACATCTAAGCATCGCCTTGTTCACACTGCAGCTCCATTTTCCAAATGTGTCATGCTCCTTCTTGTCCTGCTGCCTAGAACACTCTCTCTTCCATAGGGACTTGGAGTGTGCTCAGAGGAAGGCATGCTTGTGCCAAGGGCAAGATCAAAGGCCCTTGTTAGAGTTCAGTGATGGAGGGAAATAATCTCAGTGGGAGGCTCATCCATCCCCTGTCCAGGGCTTAGTGTTTGTTTGTCTATGACATCCCTACCCACGGGCCATCTCACTCTGCTTGCTCACCTCCTGGGACAAGAAATTCATCACCTCCTGAGCCTTCCCAATTGGACTGCTCTGATTTAGTTCTCACAATAGCCCTGTATGGTGGGTATTATTATCACCTTAACCTCATTTTACAGATGAGAACATTCAGGCTCAGAGACAATAGTGACTTGTCCCCAGAAGTCTGCCCATGTCCCTGACATGAAGACCCTGTGACTATGAAAACATAGCTCCTACATTTGCAGAATTATCATCTTCAGTACCTTCAGCCTCAGGGGTCAAGCCTGTGCATGTCAGAACCATTTCCTGAGGCCGTGGCCCAGCAGCTGACCTGGAAATTTGCTCCAGCTCTGCCCTACTATCCTTGCAAACCCACTGGCTTTACAGCAAATAGACTGGAGAGCCCACATTCCCTTGACCTCAGGTCCATGCCCCCGACTCTGCTTTATACCTTATCCTGACGCTCTAAAGCTCCCTCCCTCCTGCCCTGTCCACTCAGGATGGTAGTTACTGGCCCAGTGAGCCACTCACCAGAGCTATTGAGGTCCTGTCTGCAGAAACAGCCCCAGGTGCTGTTGCGGGCAAGGCACTCCTCCTCGGGGCGGCAGGCCTTCTCACACTTGTCCTCCACAGTGGAGGGATCTAGGTGATGGGGCACGGAGAGAGAAGATCAGGATGCAGTGTGGGCTGGACTTGAGGCCCCCAAGTCCAACCTTCTCATTCCACCGGGGCACAAGAATCTTGCCAAGGTTGTGTGATACTTAGTGGAAGCGTTAAGCCTCAAATTCAGATTTCCTGACTCCCAGTCCAGTAGGATAAGTGAGAGCCCTAAAGCTGCCACCTGAACACTTACCACAGACAAGACTCTATTCTAAGGACAATGAATGTATTAGCCCATTTAATCAAAATGAGAAAGGACAGCATGGCGGTTAAGCCCATGGATGCTGGAGCTAGAATGCCAAGTTCAAATCCCAGCTCTACCATGCTCCAGCTCTGTGATACAGGACAGCCCCTTAATTTCTCTGTGCCCCTCATTGTGGTAATTAGGTAGCACTTATCTCATGGAACTGGGGAGAGGATCAAATGAGTTAATACATTTGAAGTACTTAGTATAGCAACAAGGACATTGTGAGCATTATGTGTTAGCTGTTATTTTTGCCGTTACCCCCTTTTTTTCAGATCAGAACACCGAGGCTCAGGGAGGCAAATTTAACTTCCCAAATGGAGCCAAAATCTGAATGAGCATTAGCTCTGGATTTTATGCTACAGACATTTATAAACTGGGAAATTTCACCCTTAAATGAGAATTTCTGGCTTGAAACGTTGGAAGGTCTGACAACCCCTGTGTTGTGTTCTCACTGGGCAGGAGCTGAGTCAAGGCTGCTCTGCATCCTCTCCTGTCTCCTCTTGACTTGCTCCACTCACTTTACTGAGCCTGGGGGGCATCTCGCTGACTGTGTAGCTGCCTCCTCCAGGGCTCTGCTGCTCACCTGTGCAGTATCTCAGACTACACTCGGGAGTGCCTTCCAACCGGTACACGTGATACCCGCCTGGGCAGGCCTTCACCAGCACCTCCGTCTTCCAGAGACAGCAGTTGCCACTCCAGTGGGCACAGGCAGTGCGGTTGACGATGCCATCCCCAAGGGCAGGGTGGGTCCCGTTCAACCACATGGGAGCAGCTGTCTGGCATCGGTGCACCTGGACACAGGTCTCCGACATCCTCACTCCTCCTTCCCCTGCAAAGCGGTACCAGCCACTCATGTTGTCATCGCACCCCTCTTTCTCTTCTGAGTTCTCTGTGCTTCGGAAGGGTTCATCCAGGAGGGTGTAATTCTGACAGGGGTCAAAACAGATGTGAGCCTCTGGGGTGCCAGGAGCTCCGCAGTCCAAGTCCAGCCCATAGGAACTGGCTTCACTGGGGTTTCCATAACCTGGGAAAGTGACAGAGTGCAGTTGGGTTTAATGTTTAATCCATTAATTAAACATCAACTTCATCACCTTTCGGGCAGAATAACCAGTGAGGATCTTCTGCGGTATTTTTTAGGCATTGAGGACATCAGGGCCACCATCCTGCCCAGTCTCCCTCCCCGCCTTAGAGTAACAAAGTTCTTTCCTGTGCATTCATGCACAGCAGCCTTGTTTGACTAATATTTGTTTTTCTCATTATAAATGTAATACAGGCTTACTGAAAAAGAACCTCAAACACATTAAAATGAATAAAGCAAAAATGAAAGTTGCCATAAGCCCATCTCATCCCCAGAAGTAACAATAAATTTGTTATGTAGCCTTCAGATTCTTCTTAGGCATGTTTAAAATATATTGCTTTCTTAAAAATAAAAATAAGTTTAATTCTATACAACATCTTTTTTTCCACTTGCATTTTTTACTTAACATAACATAGACATTTTTCCATACCAGTAGCACAATCTAATGTAAGAATTCCAAACCTTGGCACTATTGACATTTTGGCTGGGTCATTGTTTATTGGAGGAACCATCCTGTCCATTATAGAATGTTTAGGAGTATCCTTGGTCTCTACCTACCAGATCCCAGCAGCATGACCCAAAGTGGTCTCCAGGCATTGCCAAATGTCCCCTGCGGAATATCGCCTCCAATTGAGAACCACTGACCTAACAAGACCATTTCTGATTGTTGATCTATCATTTTTCATTATAGAAACAGTTATAGAAACTGTGATGTATGAAGAGGCAGAGAAGTAAAGGAGGAAGACCACAGGCTGGTCGGGCTGACTTTAAATCCAATTCCACACTTGCTGGCTGGGTGACCTTGGCAGGTGACTTAAGTCCCCTGAGACTCATTGGCAAAACCATGTGTGTAAACTAGTGGTTCTCAAACTTTATCCATTCCTATGCCTTGGGTCATGACCTTTGCCATACATGTGTTTGCCTGTCCTATTATTGACTTAAAATGTTTCTTTCAATGATTATCTCTAAGAATTAGTTTCATCTTAAAGAATAATATCTGTGATAACATAGATATCATGTGCTAGTTATATTTTTTAGATATGCATAAAAAATAAACATAAAACCATGAAAAACTTGTTAAGAGTTTGCCAGGCATCCCCCGAATCATCTTGGAATATATACACCTCATTTGGAGAAAGAAAGCCTTAAATGATTGTTAGAGGATTAAGTGAGATAATATGTGTAAAATGCCAAGCAGAGCACCAGGGTCAAGTGAATTCTCTTCTCTAGTTCTGATTTGTTGAATGCTGTAGATGCCTGAAGAAGGAGCTAAGTGCACACACAGGATCATGTGCTTATAATACACGTTAAAGGGGCTTTCTAAAAAAAGAGACTTTCAAGTTTTGCACATGCTTATAATACACATTAGAAGGGCCTTTCAGAAAAAGAGATTTTCAAATTTTTCTCATGCATGTGCTTAAGACAAGGAATCCCTGCATTTATTGTTCTTAGATTACTCCTTGCACACCCTGCGTTTTTCTACTGGAGGCCTCCAGTGAGTTCAATTCCCTCACCCACCCTCCTCCACAGGGCTGAAATTTGCTCTAATTCTAAGTCTGAGATTCCTTTCTGCAAGTATCTGAATTGCCCAATTCATAAAGAGATCATTTAATCTAGCCCTTTCAGGAAAAGAAGAAGGTGCTTTCCAGTACAAGGTGACTAAGTTGTGTATTTCTTGATCTTCTTTAATCTGGGATCTCTGATCTCCCAAAGATATGGGCATGGGAAGTTATGTTAACTGGCTCCCACTGCCGTTTCAAGGGAATTTCTGATTAGATTCTTTGAGAGATGATTGTGACTTGATTTCCATTGTGTCTCACTATGTTTCCCTTGATTTCTAGCTCTGAGTTTTTGCTTTAGAACCGCCAATTCCTCTTCCTTACCTGAGTCACCTTCTCTGCACTTCTATCCTCACTTGCTAGGTCTTCCTTGACATCTGAGATGCCAGGTGAGCAGAATACTTACCTTGCTGCACTGCAGATGCCTGGGCCAGAATGCAGGAGACCAAGGCCAGCCACAGGAGGCCAGAACCCACTATCCTTTCCATAAGGTGAGGCATGCAGGTCACTTTGCTGTATGCAGACTTGCCGTGCAGCTACGGGAAACGAAAGACCCAAATAAGATCAGGGCATAAGACTATGTTCTTAGAAACAGATCCGTTGACTTCCTTCATGAAGAGCTGCATTGTTTCAAAGTAGGTGTGACTTGTGGACAGATGAAGCAAGATAATGGGAGATAAAGTTGACAGTAAGCAAACCAAAGACAAGCTCAGAGCTGGCTAGTACTGCAGAATGTCCTAGAAAGGTCTCAGGATGGTCCCTGCTCAGGTGGAGGTAAAGTCTCTCTGGAGATTGGATAGAGAAAGAGGGATACGGTGCCTGTGAATATCTGCACACAAAAGTAATGGCTGCCCTTTCTTAGTTTGATGCAATGGGTGCTGTTAAGAGCCCCCTGAAATGTCCTCTATGCATGTAGATTTCTGTGAGTGTGGAACCATGCCAAACCGAGCCCCATGTTCCTTGCTCCTAGTACAGAATCCGGCACACAATGGGTACTCATTAGAGGATTAAGGGATGAATAAATAAATCAATGGGGGTTGGGAGCAGTGGTGAGGCAGAAAGAAAGAGCTGCAAAAAGCCTGCCAGCATTTGGATGGCGTTTACTTTTCTGGGAAATCCTTTCCCTGAATGGCCAAATCTTTGGATAACTTCCTATAACCTCTGGAAGACTTCAGTGGAAAATAGAGATCGGTTTCTGGCAGGGATATCGTGAGTATGCTATGAGGCAGCAGGGATAGGGGAGCACCCAGGATTGGTGATTCTTAGAGTTGAGATCCCTATAGAGACCTAGTGCCCTGGTGGGAGTATCTGGGGCAAGGGAAAGGGTGGCAACTATAGGCCTGGAACATCGCAGGTGACTGAAAGCATGGCTGAGTTGGATATAGAGTGGTACCTGGAGCACTTGACAATGGCCAGGATCCAAACTCCTTGCTAGGTTCTAAAAATTTCCAGAAACAAAGAACCCTAGCAAGTCCAGTGGATCAAGATTTCCCAGGATTAGGAGAAAGCCTCCTGAGGCTTAAAGCAGGACTTACCTCCGATGAGAACACAAAGCGTTCCTTCTCCTCTGCCAGCCATGGGAATGCAGCCTGCTGTGGGCTGTCTTTTTATTGCAATTTCCCACCCATGTGTCTCTCCTCAATTGGTGCACAGGTACGATGGGAGTTCTAGGCCATACACTGGGCTTGTTGAGTGGAGGTGAGATAAGCCATTTACGCAAAGGATGGTGAAAGAAGGGCCCTCCCCTCACAATGTAAACCCTTCCAGCTGTCTCAGCATCGTGCAAATGCTTCCTACAAACAATAGTGCTGTGTGCTGAATGCTGAACATGCTGGGCACTACTTTGCGTCCATGACTTCTCACATTTAATCTTCCTAATCAATCAATGAAACTGGTGCCATATTTATTACCAGAAACCAAACACGAATTGAAAGGAAGCTTAATACCCAAAGGGAAGTGAAGAGAAAATCAAACAGGCACTTGTTTGCACAATGGATTTTCAACTGTACCTTGTGTTCCTAGCTAATCATCTTGGAACATTTCTGCTTCTGTCTGAAGGCCACTGAGCTTGGGCCAGTTAGACTAAGAGGATAAATAGGAAAAGAAGGAAGGGAGTGTGGATATTTCCACAAAATTCCATTTCTTGGTCCATAGACTCTACCCAACTCCAGATTTCTAATGCTAAGGAGTTTTGGAATGGCTAATTTGGTGATGATGGATTTTGGAATGCCAAAGGACAGACAAAGGTTCCTGGACAAAAGAAGCATCAGAGCAGCCCCTGTAAATCCCTTTTGATATGTAGGCTGCCCTAGAGATTGGAAGGCATGAGACTGAGAAGACGCTGTAGAGGATCTTGGACTTACTAACTCCAGGCTTGGACTGGGCTTTCATGGCATGGTAGAAATCATGGACTTCATAAAAGAGCCAAAGCTTTTGCAGAAAAAAAATGGCCACTGTTTCTTCTCTGTCACTCTGGGACTCCTTAAGGAGCCAAGGCAACTGGGGACAAGGGAACAGGAGAGTCCTGGCATTGGTAACACCTTCTACAAAACCTCAACCTGGAAAAATGAAAGGTGCTACAAGCCACCTTCTCTACTCCCAAAGCAACTGGAGAAAAGTCTCTATAATGTGGAACTTATGACAACTGGGTCCACTAAATAGCCCACTGATCCATTCAATCTGGCCAGGTGCCCATCCCAGTCTCCCCAGGGGCCACTCTCAACCTTCCCATTCCTCTTAAATGGTCTCTACGGCTATCATCACCCGCTCATACCACCTTTCTCAGCAGATATCTTGTACCCTACTTCAAAAACAATTTAGGCCACAACACCTGACCTTGCTCCTCTCCCTATAAACATATAAATACTGGTCTCTGTCCTCCACTTCTTCCCCCTTCAACTTTTAATAAGGCGATCTTCCTCCTTTTCAAAGTCAGTTCCTCCATCCTTCTTCTGGCCTCACCATTCCAATCTGAACCATGCAGCTACAACTTTATAGCCAAATCCACTGGGTAGTTTGTTTCTGCTCCTTTGTGATTGGATTTGCCTACTGCTTTTTCCGGGTACCTTGCATTTCCTTGACTCCGCATGATAGTATTTTCTTGAGTCTCCTATTTCTACTTGGAGATTTCTGTTCTGTTGCTACAAGATCCTGTCCCTAAGAATGCCGGTTAGGTCCCATTTTTCTTGTCACTTCATAAACTCTCCCTGGGAGGTATCAAGTTATCTCATGGTTTCACATACCATCTCCAGGCTGCTGAGTTCTGAATCTGTATCCCCAGCTTTCGCTACTCCCTTGAACTTCAGTTCCATCTACCTATTGATTGCTGGACCTCTCACTGCCGCTGAGATGCTTGAGACACCTCAAACTCAGCAAGTGCAACACTGAGCTCATCAAGTCCCCTAAATCTCCTCCTCCTCATTGTATAATATATTTTAGTCAAAGGTGCCACTCCCCTCCCAGTCATCCAAGCTGGAAACTTGGCCTCTTCCTTTCTAAGCTCCTTCCTTTCTCCCTCTGCCCCCATTTCCAATAATCCTTTCCTCTCCATCTCCACCTCACCAATCCAAATTCGGGCCACCATTCCTTATGAAGGTAATTTTTTTTTTGACCAAGGGTCTTGCTCTGTTGCCCAGGCTACAGTGTAGTCATGTGATCATAGGCTCACTGCAGCCTTGATCTCCTGGGCTCAAATAATCCTCCCACCTCAGCCTCCTGAGTAGCTGGGACTACGGTTATTGGCCACCACATCTGGCTAATTTTTAAATTGTTTTGTAGAGGCAGCGTCTTGCTATAATTTGTGGTTGTCTGGCCTCTTCCTCATCTTCAAGCCTTTGCATACACTATTCCCTCAGCCTGCATCACTCTTCACCCAGCCTCATCCTACGTTATCACCTCTTCCAGGAAGCCTTTCCTAACTCCACCGGCACTCCTCTTCTCTGCTCCTAGGCCTCGCAGGGCTGATTCCAATTACACTCACCTGCCAACTTATCTGTCTACCTCTGAAGGCTGTTAAGATCTTTGTGGACAGAGGCCAAGTGTGATGGCCCATGCCTGTAATCCCAGCACTTTGGGAGGCCAAGGTGGGTGGATCACTTGAGGTCAGGAGTTCGAGGCTAGCCTGGGCAACATGGTGAAACACCATCTCTACTAAAAATACAAAAATTACCCGGGCATGGTGGTGCATGCCTATAGTCCCAGCTACTCAGGAGGCTGAGGCAGAAGAATCACTTGAACCCAGGAGGTGGAGGTTACAGTGAGCTGAGATCACACCACTGCACTCCAGACTGGACAACAGAGTGAGACTCTGTCAAATAAATAAATAAATAAATAAATAAATAAATAAATAAAAGATATCTGTGGACAGAGAGCCTGTCTCTGCAGTCCTAATCAGTACCTAGTAAGTACTTCTTGAGTAAACACATGGACAAATTCATAAAAAGCACTCCCAGACCCTCTGCAGTGAGCAATTCCTCAAACTTATGGCTGTCCAGGTGTAAGCAGTGAGCCTTGCAGGAAAGACACAAGATCCTACCTCAGGACCTTTGCACCTGCTATTCCGACTGCCTGCAATGCTCTTCAGATATGCCCCTGGTTCACTCCTTTACTTCTTTTAGCCTCTGCTCAGCAGAGGGACTTTCTCTGGTCATTTTATGTCAAATAACACCCACATTGCTCTATCCCTCATCCTTTTTTCTTCGTCCCCCTCAGGACTTGTCACCATCTATCACGTGGCACATAGTTGTTGTTTAAATGTATCTGCCTTTTAAATGTAAGCTCTCTACCAGCAAGGGCTCTCGTTTGATTATTTGCTGTTTCCATGGTACATAGAAAATTGCCTGGCATTGAACTTATGCCCAAAATACCTGTTGAATATATTGAGCTGGATAATCGATAGAAAACAAGAAAGGCAAAGAAAAAGTACCGAGGGACTGAAGGAGTAATTCTGATGTGCTTTCTTTTTATCCCAGCTCTTGTCTTTGGTCTTTGTCTTTATTGATCTTGGCCCAGATTTTTCCTTTATGTTCTGTTGTATTGGAGTGCAAGCACAGATGGATGCGTACACCATCAGCCACCAACTGACCATGGCCTGACAGTGGACAGGGGCTGGGATCAGCCCATAGTCTTCCTCTGCAAAGTTCTTATGTCAAGGTTTTCTGTGCATGTCTGTGTGATAACAGGCCCCTTGACTTAAGACACACTGCCCTAGCAGCCCCCATTTGCTGATACACACGTGTGGATTTCCCTGGGATCAGAAAGTTCTGATAATGTACCAAGGAGGGCCTTGGCCTCTCCTGAAAAGCCACAGCTGGAGCCCAGGGAAGCAGCTGGTAGCAGAGCAGAGAGTTCCCATTGAAACTGGCTTTCTTCTATCCACTTGGCACAGAAGTCCAGAGACTCGTGGGGTATCTGGGTCTGCTGGAACCAGCCGCCCCATCCTGGAGGACCCTCATACCCCACAAAGCATTTCCTACTAATGGGGATCATTTATCTCTTTTCTGCTCTTGGTGTGTCCCTGGGAGTTGGTTTTCCAGGGAATCTTCTGGATTGGGAGGGAAATGTCTAATGATTGGAGGGAGTCCTTAGGACATTCCAGGTACCTGACCTTGACTTGCTTACTCCTTATTACCCCTAAGGACTGGGAGACTCCTGGAAGCAGGGACTTACTCATCAATATGTAATTGTCTGTCTTATTCATCAGTGTTCCCCAGCACCTAGAACAGTGCCTGGCACATATAACATTCTCAGATAAATGTTTCTGGAAAACTAAACTAACCCTCTGAGGACATCACTATTGTCTCCATGATACAGAACCAGCAGGCCCTGGTATACAATCATTAATTTTTCCTTTTTTTTTTTAATGACAGAGTCTTGCTCTGTCACTCAAGCTAGGGTGCATTGGCATAATCTCAGCTCACTGCAGCCTCAACCTCCTAGGGTCAAGAGATTCTCCCTCCTCGGCCTCCTAAGTAGCTGGGACTACAGGCACGTGACACCATGCCCAGCTAATTTTTAAATTTTTTTTTGTAGGGGTGGGGTCTTGCCATGTTGTCCAGGCTGATCTCAAACTCCTGGGCTCAAGCAATCACCACTGCCGCCTGGGCCTCCCAAAGTGCCAGGATTACAGGTGCGAGCCACCGTGCCTGGCCTATGCTCTCATTTCTGAAATGTCTGACCTACTTAGAATTACTTGTTCAAGTTCTCTCTCCTACCAGACAGGAAATTCCAGGGCGGCAGGGATTGTGTCTGGCTTGTTCACTGCTATATCCCTGGCATCTAGCACATAGTGTCTGGCACATAGTACATGCTCAGCAAATACGAATGAATAAATGGATGAAGCTCAGAGACATTGTGTAAGGTCACACAGCAGAACCTGGTCTCACTGAGCAGACTGTGAACTCCGTGAGGACAGGGTGGGGGGCTATGTTTTCCTACCATGGGATCCTTAGCACCATACATTGTGCCTACTTGGTAGAGT